AAGTTTTAATTATTTGTATTATAATAGTTTTTGTCTTTTTAATATCGCAACTGATTTTTATTGTAAACAACATCTTGGACAACTTGCATCTTGTATAAATAAAGAAAAAAAAAACATATGAATGCTAGCATGTTAAACCTTGATGCCCCTTTTACCTAAAAAAAATAAAAAAAAATACTGAGGGTAATGGTATAATGGTTTGCAGAAATGTTTTTAGCAAATTCTTTGGATTCTTAGCACAAATTAAACACTGTAAACACTCCAACTAGCCTAATTAGTGTTCATAACTTATAACCACAATGCACCCATCCAACAAGACAATGTACCATGTCATAAAGCTTAAATTATGTCTATCTGGTTTCTTCAACATGACTGGATTCAACCTACTGCAAGATGTGTCTAGTAAAATGACTTGTATGTTCAAGGTTTGTAGAGTTTTTGGCTTTAAAACTCAATAATATTTGCCTTTTAAGCACCTAAACATAATGGTCACCAGTCGTCTTGGGAACCTGCATCACTAAGAAATGAGAAACAGCCAACACAGGAACAACTCATCAAACCCTGGGAGACACCCTGAGGCCACAATACTGTTTGTCATCACTGTATCACATTTGGGAAAACACTTCAACGTCACACTGCTCTGTACTTATATGGATATCTCCAAACTCCCCTCTTCTCAAATTCCAGTGACTTTACTGGCCAAAGGGGGGAAAAAAGCACATTGCCTCAGAGGAATGCTGAGGATGTGCTATTAGCTTTGCCATTACCGCAAGGACTCCCAAACCACAAGTACGTCTGGTGAGGATGCATGTGTGTGTTCTCACTATATAACCATCATGGAAAAGTTTCTTCTTCTCTTTTTTTTTTTTTTTTTTTTTTCATATTAACTGACTCAGAAGCCTTGTGGCTAATACTGGATTCAGACATGACCTGTTTTTTGTTTGTTTTTGCATCCAGTCATCCAGGAGACATAACCAGGCATTAGTGATGAAGCACTGATGATTTCTTTAATGTAACAACCAGCCTGGTGCATCTACTAAAAGAAAATAAAAAGATTGATCTAGTCATTTTTCCATTATTTATTCCACAATTGCCTCCCATCAGAACAAGACACATAGATTCATATTAATTCATATTCATGTTCATAAAAGTTTGTATGTCTAAGTTCACACTTCCAGCTGTAGGATGCGGTAACGTCACATGTAGTGAGCGTGCTCAGTGTTTACGGAAGTAAACATGGATGGTAATGGTGGCGCATATCTTGCTATTTTAAAGTTGTTGTTCAACGGGTGCCAGGGCATTAACAACTCATTTCTCATTATCGTTTGCCATTGTTGTCGAGTTTGTCAAATATCAATGAAGTACAGGTCAAATGATTATGACCTGGCCGAACAGACAGAAATCTCACTTGAGAAGATAATTTACCTGTCAGATTAAGAACCACATATCCAAGTGACTCGGGTGGCATTTGTAAAAATCTGCCCTGTGTTGTTCAGAGAGTCATAAAAAGATCAGGTGCAGGTCTCATAAGGACAAGAAAAAAAAAATCAGATTTAGGTCTCTTCACTTCTACAGTGTGAATTTAGCCTAAGTATGCTGAATTCACATAGGGTCTACATTTTTGTTTTATGTTTGTAGACTGACGGCGATCAATCTACAAAAAAAAACAACCTTTTTTGTAAACTATTTTTGCCTTAAACTGAAATTCATGAGCCACATCAACTGTGCTCAACCACTTTTTGAAAGTAAGTCCCCCCAAAATAATTACATTTATTGGAGCAGACAGTATAAACTATACTGTATTGTCTGTCTTTACACTATCTTAGAGTTTCTATTTCTTATGTTTTTTTTTTTCATTTACCTCCCCAATATGTTTTTTCCTTGTTGACTGTATTGTTTTGGATTACAAGTAGTACAATCCCTGCTGATTGTACTTGAACATGAAAAGATATAGAGAAAAGTTCAGTCAGGTGTTATTTTTGTTCTCCCTTTCACACAAATGGGGAACTTCAATAGAACGGCATCAGAAGTTTACTTACCAAAATAGGGAAACAGACGTAATGCAGAATTACTATTTCTTTTAAGTGCTTGTTTGTTGTAGTGTTCCTACAGTGTAACTATGGTAACATCAAAATAGGAAGTGAACAGAATCTGCAGTGAGGTGTGAACTGTGTGATTCGAGACAAAAAAATATTTATTTGAAGTGACTTCAAGAGTCTGAAGTAAAATTTCTAAGGACAAAATGTGAATCATCACATGTTAAATGTCATCATTCCTAATGCAAGATCACTAACATCCCTTTTTTTAATGACATATGTGTTTCTATCTGCTGCTGCATAATGGATTGACAACCTGTCTGTTTCGTACCTCGCCTCTTGCCTCATTTCCATTGGAGAGGGGCACCAGAGTCGACCCCCATGACTCTAAGGATAAGCAAGGATGAATTATGTTAATAGTGTCTGACGGCCATTTTTGAGTATGGAGAGAAATCTGTGACTCATTTCTCTTCCCCAAATCATTTGGGATTTGGCTGAGTTAGTGACATTCTTGGCTCTTTCAAAAATATTTAAATAGAAAAACTGGTGGCCTGTGCTCTTAAGGGCAACATCAACAAGGAGAGGATGAAACTGGGTGAAAAGAGCTGTTTTAATTAAAAGGAAAAAACCTGAATATTAACAGTCTCAGAAATATGTGGAGAAATATATTGGAGAATGGTGTCTGAATTAGTATTCCTCTGTGTTCATGCACAAATCATCAAAAGCTTTGCAAACATATAGAACTAATGACTGTAATGAAAATATTTGTTTTCTTTATACTTGTGTTCACATTACACTTGAGCAACACTTTAATGTAATTCAATAAGTGACAAAAATTGTAAGAGGTTGGCTATTAATTAAATGAGCTCATAAATTACAATTCCCTCTCACTTATAAGAATCTGAGTGTCTGTACACTGCCTGTGTTAATATAACATATTGTATGGCCGTCAGGTCTTTCTCCAAAGATTACTCATTAAACAGTTTTTGAAAAAAAAAAAAACTGAAGGCTTTAAATAGCATCTATTACCAGAACTCAATCTGCTATCAGTGAATGAGATAAGCTATTGCTGTACTGCATTGCCAGTGTTAGCTCAGTATAGAAAATGTAACAAAAGTGTAAAAAGCAGCACAGTCAAAAATGTATATTTACAAAAGCAAACAATACCTTAAATATCCAATCTAAAAATTTTAAAAGAACTTTGGCATGAGCTCCAAAAGGTGCATCAACCTGTCCCCATGAATCAGCTTCCCATTGAAATCGAAACGTGGTGTTGTGGGGGTAGCAATGAACATTTTCAACTTAAGACCGAGGTCGTTCACTTGTTGACTGCCATTCCCATGACTGCAAAGTTAGTGGCCATGACAAACCATTAGGACAGGTCTTTATGGTCTGTTATGAGGGAAGTAAAGGACTTACAGATAGCAGTCATGGTTTCATATTGCATCTGGTTATTTGAGATATTACGCAATCACTTGCCAACAGCACTGGGGAGATTCCAGGAACCTGAGGTGACGCCATCAATTGCCTTATGAAGTGAAATGAAAAACCGGGAATAAGAATAGAGGAATCTTTCTCATGGTGGAAATGGTTGTTGAGATATTTGATAGTACAGACAAGAATGTTTCGGGTCATTTTTTATGTAACTGTAGTGCATAATAAAAGAAAAGCTGGATTTTTGGTCAGTGATAGAAAATTATAGAAAAAAAAATAAACAAAAACCTCAACAGCCACTTTATTAAGTACGTTGATTATTTTATTTGCATAAACAGGTAATCAGGCAAATATAATGATAAAGATTTTTCTTAACAAACCTCTTTGAAGTTTATGAAGAATGACCAGTTAGTATCAGATGTGGAAATAAACATGCCTTTGTGATGTAGAACCAATTAGCAGACGATAAAAAAACAAAAAAACAAAACAAAGCACCTCAAATAACCATTTGTTAAACCAATGCATTCAGCATAACGTCTCTGATTATGCAAGCCATCAAAACTTGAAGCAGATGGACTCTACTGCATCTTCTGATGCTGCTCCTATAATTTGAGAGCAAGAAACTGGTCAAAAACAAATTGGAAAACTGTTTTCCAATTTCAACAGTGACACTCAGATCAATCTAGCTGAAACTATATTAAACAGTGATCATTTCTTTATTCTGTCATCAGGCTGGTGGCGTTTGTCAAATAATGTGGGTGACAATTTCAGCCACCTTTGGCCCCTTTGTAGCAAATTAAACATTTTTAAACGCCACAACCAACCAGAGTGACGCTGCTGCTCACTTTCATCTCTTTATGACAACAGTGCATTCATTTTTTTTTTGATAGGTACAAATTTCAAATCACCTCAGTTGGTTTCTTGAACATGACATTTAGCTCACAGTTTCCAATGACCTTCACAGTCACCAGATCTCAACCCAGTAGATGACCTTTGGGACGTGGAGGAGCAGGAGATTTTCTGCTGGGGGATGTTCTTTTAAATCTTGTTGGTTTCATGCCACAATAAGCAAAACAGCTCTGAAGCTAACAGGATTCTGATCAATTGCTATTGAGGTGTGTCTGATAAAATGAGTCCATGTGTCCCGAGCTTTCAGTACGTACAAAATGACAAAGTGAGGTTGAATTTGTGAAACGCATGACCTCTTCCAAACGGTAGTCGAGAAGGATTGACAGCAAACCCCTGTGGAGCTGGGCTGAGAAAATCAGATGAGTTGACAACATTGTAAAGATTGAACAAAAGACCAGATGGGCTCTCTGAAACTGTCTCTGTGCAAGGACCATAAATAAAGGCAATGGGGGTGTCAGCAGTTAGGGTGAAAATGAGGTAGGAAGACAAGGACAAGCCGTCACACTGGAGGAGAAATCACCTTCTTCTTTCTGACTGCAAATTCTAAAGGCAGGAAAAAAGGGGAGAGAAAGTGGAGAGGTGGGGCAGTTGGGGAGGTGGGGCAATTGAGGGAGAGGCAGAAGGGTGTGTGTTCACATGAACACATTCTTCCCCTCCTACATGCATGCCACCAGCCACTGTTGTCTCTCCGGCAGAGAGGAGAAAGTTGATGCAAATTCCGAGTAATCTCCAGGAGCTTCCAGACACCCGAGCAAGCCCAGGTTTCTTCTGATCTCTCCTACACATTTACTCTGCTCCACTCACATACACCCACCAGCCATCACTGCTGGTACTGTAGAGGGAAGAAGAGACACGAGGAGGACTGTTACAGATCTTTATACCCAGCTGCTCACCCAGCCACCACCAGACTATTTGGCAGAGATGTGGACTTTTCCTGTAGGGGTAATCTTTGGAATACTGGCCTCTGGCAGTTCAACCCAACTTCAAGGTGAGGAGATTGAGATTTTACCTAAATATCTCTTTGTTGTGTTTTTCTTTGTTTTTATTGTTCTGCTGTGACTGGTAATTCTCTTTGGTATCAGACTTTACAGCCAGACGGCGTTCGTTTTATTTTCACCCTGAGGCTTGCAGAGCACATGAATGAGAACTCATAAAAAAGGAAACTCGAGAGTGAAAGACGCTACGGAGGCTGCTGCTTGTAGAATGGATGAGTTGATGCCGGCAAGAGAGCATGTGCTTCTCCAGACAGGCTTACGTCTGGCATAGTCTGAGACTGACGCATGACAGACACAAAGAAGAAAGCCCCGGTTCTTCCTCACTCTGTTTTAGACACGTGCTTGCATTTAAACCTCCGCTTTTCTGGGTTTTTATGAACAGTGTGGCTGGCTATTACAAGCACAATTATCAGTTGGGGGGG